CGTGATAGTTGACAAAGCCTCAATGGGGGTTGGAACTTCCAGATCAAAGCTGGAATGGCTACCCACTACAGGAAAGGATAGAGTACATTTCAGTATCAAAGAGAAGAGGAATATAAAGTTTTCAAAGCACTTTGGGACCAATTTATTAAGTTGTATACGCTATGTGAGTAATGAATTGTAAAATGTATAAGCAATGGCATTTCTGTGATCAGAGCTGTGCTCTGGTAGCAGCATGGAAGAACTGTCTGCAGGAAGAAAATGACTGGAGGCAAAGAGACCAATCGGGAAGCTAACTGCTGCTCTCCAAGAGAAGGCATGGAAACTGAAAGCAGGGTATTAATTATCACAAGAGAGAAGGGGACTGTGTGACAGTATTTAAAGTGATAGCATCAACTTGATGCCACAGCTGTTCATGAAAGAGCCGGGAGCTGTGAGGCAGAGTGCAATGTAAAAGAAGTGGTAGGTGAACTGGCTAATAAAACAGGGAAGCAAGAGACTGGGAGAAGTCCAAGCGTGGCTCACAGCGTCAAATACAGTACTGCAGAGGTATGAAGGGCACATCTGGAAATGGCAGTGGTATTGCACACTGGCAAATCATCACCACCTCCAATCAACTTATTCTACTGGGAACGTTACTATTTTAGAAGAAAAGAAAAAAAAACGAGTCAAGCAGGGATTGGGACAGGGATAAATCAGTAGAAAACAGTTTTTCAGGGTCAGGCCTGGTGGCACACACCTTTAATCCCAACACTAGGGAGGCAGAGGCAGGCAGATCTCTGTGAGTTCAAAGCCAACCTGGTTTACTGAGTGAGTCTGCTCAAACAAACAAACAGTTTTTCAAAGTCCTTTTTGAATGGAATAAAAAATGGTAGCTTAACTGAGAAGAAGCTATTAAAGAAAAGAATTTCAAAGCTTGGAAGATGAAAAGTTTTTCCTTGTGAAAAAAAAAAAAAAAACAATTCTGCCTGATATCCTCTATGCCTAGAGGGTTTAAGCTGAGATTGTGAGTTATGTGGACTTTGAAGTACTGGAGGCTGCTCATTTTTACATTTTCTCCTCTAAACATAGGATTCCATTTTCATTTTATAAAATACATTTAACGAGCTTACTGGGATTAAAAAGAACATTTCATCAACACTATCTAATTTAATCTGAGCAACCTCATGAGGCTTTTTAAAAGTTCTTTTTATGCCGATCATAGATAAGAGAGAAGGCAGAAGTAAAAGAAATGCCCTAAAGATTAGAAAGAGTAAGTGGCAGGCCCCCATTCTCTTAACTAATGTACTTCACTATCATTCAACAAAGTATACAAGCAACTTTTATAGACTGAACTGTTTGATGAAAGAGCACCCCATCATTAACTTACACTGTTTAGTTCATTCATTTTCTTTTAAATAAAGCCCTCAGGAACAAGGTTTCTCCTGTCACCTCTTCGCACATGTTTCAAGTTCTCGTAAATGTGTCACAGACGATGAAGGTTGTAGCTCCGCATGGGCCCTTCAATACATTCATGCCTGCTCATCTTGATGCAAGGAAAACTGTACAAGCCAGTACACAGATCACTTCAACCCGCAGGCTGTGCTCAATTAGACAGCAGGCATGGCTTAGGCCCATCTGCTTGATCTGAGAAAGAACAGTAAGTTGTGCAATACAGAAAGCATGCTTCACATACTTCATCGTGAAAACCTACATTTCAGATGGCTTCAGTGCTTACTCTCAATTCTGGCTGCTTCTCATCGCATTTTCATATTTGAAGTGACTCTGAATAATTAAACTTTGCTAGCAAATTTTCCTCAGAATTTTTATACAGATTTCTGGATCAATTTGGTTGAAATCTATATATTCAGGCATTCCACAGCAAGCTATTACTTCACATGTATCCTTTTTATCTATGTGAAACAGGGTTTTCTGAATAGCTTGTAACCAAAATAAAATACAGACATAAATTGCATGGGTTAATAGTAGACTATGTTTTGTGGGTTTGTTTGTTTGTTTTTTGAGGCAGGCTTTCTCTGTAGAGCCTTGGCTGGCCTTGAACTCTGTTTGGGATTAAAGGTGTGTACCAGCATGCCCAGCTAACAGTAGACTACCTTTTTGTGAAATTTTGTAATCTATTAAGAAAATTGCTTCATTGCCTTAATTGATTGCTCACATATTGTGGAATTTCTCTCAAAATAAATAAATAAATGAATGAATAAATAATTATCAAGTAATGGTTCTGCCAGGCATGATAATGGCCTGTAATCCCAGCACTTAGGTGGCTGAAGCAGTAGGATCAGGAGTTTTCAAGGCCAACTGACTCTCATTGGAGTTGGAAGCCGCTCTGGGCTAGACAGTGAGATCTTGCCTCCAAAACAAACAAGTAAACAAAACAAAAGCAGTGGTTTGAAACCACTTGTTTCAATCACCTGAAACAATGTATGTTTAAGATTTTATGGTTTTGATAGGGGAGAACATAAATATTCTGTACAAATTCAAAGGACAAATGATTCAAGTGTACCCCTTTGACAGTCTGAAGATGGAGGTTGTAAACAAAGAAGACAGCAATGGCTTTTCCATATTTGGTGCTCCTGGGTAATCCATAATGAATTAAAACAGAAACTTCAGTCCTACCTATCCACCACTAGGATCCAAGGCATTTTTTTAAACCAAATGTTGAAAAGGAAGCCCTAGATTTGTTCTCGGGAGAGAGAAACGCAAACAGCACAGTACTTTCCAAATACTCAAAGCAAATGTGAATACAGTGGCTTCTCTCTATGTTGAAAAGTAGTTTCCCTAGAAGTTCAAGAGAGAAATGTCTTTCTATGCCTCAAAAGAATTTGGTTAGCTTGTTGGGTAGCTAACAGCACTACCTGTTCTACCATCGATTTGGATAATACAAAGCTTTCAAAGTATCCAAATCGCACATTGCCCTTGTAACTTCCTTTATTCACATTTGAGATCCTGAAACACAATAGACCTAATTAGATTTTCAAGCTATCCATGTCTTCAAAATGGTAGCTGAATAATTATACATTTGCGAATTCACTTTTTGCTTCCTTTTATCATTAATCTATTATACAACTAACATTTATGGCTGTTTATCATCTGTTACCTGGCTTATCTATTATCTTTAGTAATCATCAAAACATAAATATCATCTTCATTTTACAGACAGGGAAACCAAGACTCAGTAAGGTTAAATAATCTGTCCAAGGTCACAAAACTATTGTGTTTTAAATCCAGAATTGGATTGCCAATCTTGACTGTTTTCCCTCCTACACTATGGTGTCTGTCAATGTGGAAAGCCTAGCACATAGTAGGAGCTCAACAAAAGTTAATTTGTCTCCTAAAACTATCAGATAAATATCCTCAGCAGGAGTACAGTAGCTCAATGAGGCACTCTCTAAAATAAAATATATTATTCAACTGGAATTCATTCATGCAAATGAACCTCATTTGGAGAAGACTAAGCCAAATCCTTGTAAAATCAGATAGCCAAATAAAGACTTTACATTTTCCTAAGCCTCATTATTCAACTTTAGTAGCCTTTAAAATGTAATTGCATTCTAATCAATGTATTATCTAGGAAGCATGCAGTTTGCTCCCTTAATCAATATACTAAATCTAAGAACTGCAGCATTTTAGAGCTGATCCAGACCATAGTGTTCTCTCATCTCAGCTGTATCTCTGCATGCTCTGCCAACTCGGTGCCCACCCTCTACACCTACAGTGGACATGTAACTTGTACAAGGTCATCAAGCTGAGCCAAGCAAAGGGGCTTAGAGGAACTCAAATCTCTGGAGTTCCAGTTCAGTGCTCTCTCCATTATACCACACATCCACTCAATGCAAGTGCTCTTCAGGCAGGGCCAATGGTACTACTGTAAGCAAAACACAAATTCTCACGCATTTAAATAACTAAATTCCTTTATCCAGGGACTCCTAAAGAATTCTCCCTATCTGTTAACCTTTATTTAGTTGCACTGTCCTAGACTCATGAAGGTTTTATTTCATTTTACTCTAGAGGCAAACCTGTGGATAATCGGTTTCTTATTATCCTGTCTCATTTGACTGATGAGAGTACCAAGACTCAGAGTTCAGATAAGTTGCCCAAGGTCACAGGACTAGTAAGCACCAGAGCAGAAATTTGAGTCAAGGTCTGACTCTAGGCCCGGCTCCTAACAGCCACGAAATATTGTTACTTGTCTCTTCCATTTTTCTCTCCTGCTCTTTTTTCTCTTTGTCCTTCAGGGCCTGGGATCACAAATCACAAAAGGGAGGTTTCTGGAAGTGCGGCTTAAGGGGGTAAAATAGTCGTCCCCCCCTCCCCGCCATGCCCACACATTTCAGAAGTACCTGGACTACTTTTACAAAGTCTGGGCCTTTATTTCTTCAGTAACACTAATCACCTGCTTTGGAACTCAAGAACCTAAATCAGATTTGTCAAGAGGCAAACAAAAGCACTGATAACAAGAAGTACTTGGGATCCAAGACCACTGGGCAGAGAACTCCAAAGCTAAAGTTTCCACAAAAAAATGCAACGAGGTTAACCGAGTACTGTAACATAATCTTGTACTTGATAGGTAGGAAATGTGAAGAGAAAGCAGACCGGGGAGAAAAATCCGTTTTTTTACTCCAAAGAGATTCCCAGGCAATGATGTTCTTCCCTCAGAGTTTAAAAGCCAAAGTCCACCCTCCCATACCTTTAATCCCAGGCAAAGCACCCTTCTGAAACACCAGGAAAAGACGCAAAACCCCCGCGGTACCAGCCTCTGCGCCCCCCCACCCCGCCCCGTTTGTCTTACTCTTTTCCACCAGAGGCAAATTAAATTCTGAAGGAATTTTTTTGCACCCAACCCCCACACCTGGCGAATCTCGGGAGGACCCTGCTCTACTCAGAGGGGGCAAAAAGGGCACCCTTTTTCCAAGTAAGGGGATGAGGGAGGCGAGCAGTGAGAGAAACTGGGGAAACTGGTTACGTAGAGGTTTGAAGAGGTGCAAATTAGTAGCTGCACTCACCCGGGTGAGACATGGGGATGACTTCATTGCGGGTCCCAGGGAAGTTAAAGATGACGGCTCCAGAAGCCCCTCTCTCATAAGCCAGATGGATCTTGTCCGCGAAGGTGCAGCCTCCGCCGCGTTGGATGAGGGCCAACCAAGACACTTGCACCGTGCTTCCCCAAACCGTGGGCACGGTGAAATTGGTGTGCGGGTTACAGGCGTTGAGCGCCCCGGGCCCGTCGGGCGGTACCAGGACCCCGGAGACGGGCTCCAGCGGCGAGTCCTGGCCGTACACGCCCTCCTCGCTCAGCTCCCACACCGTGCGGTTCACTCCGGTGTGCGGAACCCGCCAGGACACGTTGAGGTACGCGGTCCACACGGCTTCGGCGCCCCGGGAGCCGGGTGCGTGCGGACTCAGAGCCAGAAGGAAGCACCAAGCCAGCAGCCGGGCAGCTCCGCAGGCGCCGCGGCAACTGACCCGGGTCCCGGGCGGCGGCCCCATGGCGCGCGCTCGGCGGGAGACCCTGGCCGGGGCTAAGTGCGAGCCAGGTGGGGAGCAGCGGGCGGCCAGCAACGGGCGAGCGGCCAGCGAGGTCGCAGGCTGCCGGCGGGCACGCAGCGGCGGCGGCCAGGCTACTGCAGACGCAGCTCCCACCCGCAAGCGCTAGCGATGCTTGCTCGCGACTGCCGCGGCCGCGTCGGGCTCTGGGACGCTGGGGCGAAGCTCCGCCCAGCCAGCTGGGGGTAGAGGTGGCTGGGAGGGAGAGAGGAAAGGACACTGCGGGATCCGCCTCTTAAAAGGGTCACCGGGTGGGAAGGCATTACCGGAGGGACTCTTGAGGTTGGGCAGCCAGGTGTGTCGGGTCCTCTTGGGGGAAGAATGCAAGGGCGGCGAGGAGCTGGAGAATGCGCCAATTTGGGAGCTTTCAGTTCTGATTGGGATTGGAGTCCCTTTTGAAAAGCAGGAATACCGTGTTCCCTTTCATTTGCCTGAAGGGGAGTTTGGGCTTTAAGGTGGGAGAATGGGAAAGCACTTCTGAAAAGCCGCAGGTCCGAAGTGTGTGAGATCTGAGTAGGTGGACAGTGCTGGGGTTAGATGTTCCTGGTTTCAACAGGAAGGACAAGCAAAGCGCGTCCTCATTACTCCCTTTATTTAATTATTTTCTTAGTGGCCACAAATGGTACATTTCTCTTTACCTGATCTCAGCAAGCGCTATCTGTGTGAGACTGTCTTTCCTACAATTACTCCAGGTTAACACACTGCACCAGATGCCTCTTGCAAGCAATCTTGATAGTCAAAACAGAATTACCATCTTCACACATCTCAAAACCAAGCCTTTTTTTTTCACCTTCCACAAATCAGGTTTGACCTAACTGATATTCCAGCACGATTCAAGATCTTAACTAGATTACCTTTATTCTCTTGACACCAACTAGAATGAGGCTGACCCATCTAGACAATTCACCCGTGTCACTGTTGGATATGATTTACTTCAGTAGATATTTCTATCAATACTATCAATGACTACATTTACTGGATTCTCAAAAATGTGCATGGAAATAAGCTGAATTAATATACCTGGTGACAGGCAGTTCAGAATTTATTTATGATTTTGATTTTTGGACAGCTTCTCCCTATGTAGCCTTGGTCAGCTTGGGACTAAGAAGAGGAGGCCAGATTCAAAGTTGGGGCAATCCTCTTGCCTAATTGAGATTACAGTTAATTAAAGGCATGTGCTGCCAGGCCCAGCTTCTGAATAGTCTTTAACCTTTAGAGTTTATTTCTCTATTCCTCAATTTCTCCATCAATTGTAAAATGGGAGTAATAGTAATGACCTCATGGAATTGTTCAGATGGTTAAAAGTCTTCACACAAAGTGCTTAGGACCCTGCTTAGCAGAGTGTGAAAATTATGTTAAATATTGTTACTCGACAAGCTTAGGGGCACAGGAGGTCTATAATATTGAGGTTGTTACCTTGCAGTTGTCAATCGGAGGCAATGATGTTTACGAGTTGAGTCTTAGTTACTGTCTTGGTTCAGTCTTATTTCCAGCATAACATTCCCAAACACTCCCTTCTCCAAATCCTTGGCCCAGCATTTACTTAACAGTATTTCCCAAGATTAAGTATAGCTTTATTCTATTCCTGATATTCTTAGGACCCCAAAGAAACCTAGAGGACAATTAACACCATCTATCAAACACCAACTAAAATATAAGTAAGTGATTATTCTGTGAAACATGAACCTTGAGTGTTAAGAGGAACTTTACGAGCCATTTAGGGTAGGTATGGAACTAGTGGAAAAATACCGCCCCCAATATCAATGCTGTTAACCTTTGAGATTTAAATTCCCAAACAAAAAGCAGGGTAGTATCATCCATTTTAAGAAATAGTATAATCCCAGAAATTGAATTTGTTAATGAAAAACACTCAAAGTATAATTAATATTACTTGAATGAAAATCAACTATATTATTCTTTGAAGAGAATGTGCTCAAAAGAAAGGAGATGTTTTGTAAGATATCTAAAAATATGAAGAGATGTTTATTCATATTATCCATTTATTACTCCTTAAATATTTATCTCACATCTACTATATGCTATGAACTAAATGTAAGTCAAGTAAAATATCAACTATACTTTTTAAAAGCTCATGAAATTAATGTCGAAGAGTAAGAAGCGATTGTTGCATTACTCAGTAATGTATGCATATGGTACTGCCTCTATAATAAAGGTCTATGCAGACCAATAGTGGATAATGGAGAAGAGCCCCTAACACAGACTAGGAAATCAGGGAAAGTATACACCTGGGCTGAGCACAAGAGGACTACTCTTTCTAGGTAAAGGGCAACATAAGAGAAGGCATGGAGACCGGAAATAGAAGTGCTGGAAACCTGCAATTACAGCAGACCTTCTAAGTGCAAAATGGTTGAAACCTAGTGTGTGAAAAGGAAGGTCATACAAGTGCAAATGAGAAGTCCGAGAAGTTCAGTGCCAGAAAACTTGACTAATATATATGAGGCTCTGGGTCCATCTCTAACACTGAAAAAAAAAAAAAGTAATAAAAAAAGATAAAAGTGAAGGCCAGACCTTCAGAGTATTTGGAGCAAAGCTAGGAATGGTCTGGGGTTGATCCAAAAAGTAATATAATCAGGATTTAAACAGAGAATAATATCAGATCTGCAATTTAGAGATCGTTATGGCTTCTCTGTGGATAATAGATTGGAAGGAAGAAGAGTAGTATCAGGGAGCTGAGGTAGATTTTTGGCAGTACTCCAAGTGGGAAATGAAGGTAACCTGGACAGTAGACATGAAATGTGGGCAGAATGGGGAGTTGGTGTGAAGGCCAAATCAGCAGCTTTTATTCTGAGGGATGGTCCAGAGAGAGGAATAAACTTGAGGTCTTTGGTTCTAAAGACTGGATGCATTCAGTCATGGAGTACAGGAAGAGGCCTTAAAATGTGTACCGTTGATAAGAAAGAGATAAGTTCCTTTTAGACATGTTGATTTTGAGTTATGTGTGAGGTAATTAGGTAGAATCATGTAGCAGGTCATTGGCTTTTCTTATTTCTGAACACTTACTAAATGTAAAGTACTGAAAAAGCAGAGGCATCAAAGGAACATTCCTGTTCTAAAGGAGGTCAAGGTTTAGCAGGAGAGTCAGAGATATAGGCAGATAGTGATCATATGTAATAATGAACAGTATGATCTAGTAAAGCATAGGTGTTCCTTAAGTGAAGAGGATAAAAACGATATTCAGGCACAAGTAATCGTGTATGAGGATAACAGAGAACAATCAGGAGACTAACCTTCAGATGTAAGCTACCAAAGGTGAGATAAGGAAAATGAAACTAGTCAAGTAGGTGGGACATGAAGAGTTTAAAATATGCAGAATCAACGTACATATCACCTATGAACACACACAAAGCAAATTTGACAAAATGATTAACTGTTGCTAAATCCAGGTGGTGGACCATAGGTGTCAAATTATTTTTCTTAACTTGTCTGTGAATTTTATACTTTCTGTAATTAATGAGTTTAAATGGTGAAACTTTAAATTTTCTTTCATGTGTATGTCTGTTTTGCCTGCCTGTATATATGTGCCTGGTGCTTATGAAGGCCAGAAGATGGCCTTGGACCCTCTGGAACTGGAGTTACAGGCAGTTGTAAGCTGCCACAAGGGTGCTGGGAATTGAACACAGGTCCTTTGGAAGAGCGGCCAGTGCTCTTAACCACTGAACTATCTCTCCAGCCCCTAAATTGTGGATTGATATTGAAGCTAGTGGAACATGAGGATAATGTAACAGATCTTGGTTTAAAAATCCATCCTGATTGCTAGTTATGAAGACAAGACTGGTAATAGACTAGTCAGGAGGCTAATATCACCAGTTTCTTTTGGAGGTCTAGCCCAATTATGAAATGGAGACATCAGGCTACAGTGGCTTGATGACGTGAACCATTAAGCATCCTCTTGCTCTGAGTCCATCCTCACCAAGCAACCTTCTTATTATCATTTAGCTTCTCATGTAAATATGCCTACAGGGAGATAATGCACTCATCAGCAAACACTAGTATCAGGTCCATTTGGAAGTTACCCTTCTCATTATAAATTAATCAATTGGCATTCTGGCTTACATATTGGTCTCCTGTGAATTTGGTTAACTGTGAGTCAGTCCCCAGGAGCCCAGTCTCTGGTTATACTACCAGTTAAATTTCAAAGCTTTCCAAACTGAGAACCAGATTGTCGATCCTAATTGCGTCAACGTCTTTCCATGATGAATAACTTGCTGGCTGTCCCGACCTTATCCCCATGTCTTACTGTGGAATATTTTCACACTACAACAGTTGCCTACTTCTAAGAAGTAAGTCTGCTGCTGATCAGGAGCATCACCATTGTCAGGGACCTGGTTAGAAATGCTAGCACCCATTTCTGCTTCAGTACTTGAGCATCAGATCTCACTCCTTCACAAAGCATCACATGCTGAGTAAGACTACAGTTCTGCTGGAAAGTTCCCGTTCCCATTAATGTAGTCCAATTCTCTCCCTCCCTCTTCCCCACTCTAATCTTCTGATTCTAGGTTCTCAGTGTCTCCAGAGTATCCTTGGTCATGTCCCTATTCAACTAGGGCCTTTCCTCTCCAGAACAGTCCTGAATGAGATCTCACCTAATTCCTGACAATTGAGTTGATTTATCCTAAGAATATTCTCTCAGAGTGCTACTCTCCTTAAGGCTAATAACAGTTACTCAACTACTGTTCCTTAAACATTTATCAGGTGTTTTACATACTTATCTCCATCTAATATCATCCCCATATTTTTTTCTTAAACAGAACAGGAAACAGGCTCAAAATTAGAAGCAGGCCTAAAGTAGTTAAACAGAAGCAGAATTCCAGTGCAGTTCTGACTATAAGTATTAATAGCTGATAATGACTCACACCATTCCTCTGTAGGGTGGTATGCACACTGTAACTTTTTTTATGCTAAAGACAGTTTAAGGAATGTTTCTCTTTTGCATTTCAGGCACTGTCACCATCAAGAGAGGGAATAATAGTTGAGCCAAGAGCCTTTTTGTATTATTCAAATCCTACCACAAAGATGAACCCTGCCAAATGTTTCTATCAACAGCAGCAAATGAAACAGCCATGAGCAGGCTTTATCTAATGATGAAATGATAAAGCAGAGCAGCATCCTGCAGGAGCAACAGGGTGGTGCCACTGTGGCAGGTTAGGTTTCCTATCACA